AGACACTGCCGAACTGTCCTCTGAAAATCCTTCACCAGACATTGCTGAAGCTCCTGGAGATCAGCCCTGCCTCTCAAGCTCCTCAACTCCGCATCATGTGGTGATCCAGTGCCGAGAGGACTTTGGGTTGACAAAAACACCAGTTTCCTTAGCAGTTCACGATTCAAAGTTTTGGCAGTATGTATTCAAGAGGGTCGTGGTTGATAAAGATTCCAACAAGGTTTTGTACTCTGAATTAGTTGATCCGAAGAAACCCCGAAAACTGCTGCTTCGAGATGTGCCTTCAGATGTTAGTCATGTTATTACGAGATTTCATCTGCGTCTCCCTGTAGACCTGGAATGTCCTTCCGACCTGACTGAGCATAATGCCTGGAATCTCACTAGCCATCAAATGCGACAGTTAACATCGCAAATTAAGGCTGCCGCAGCAGTAGAGCCAGCGACACATGAGCGACCATTGGTGGTTGAGGTTTTTTCACCACCGCGTTTTGCTCCCACAGCACAGGCCAGAGGTTTCGTTGCCAAGTCTGTCGACATTAAGTTGGGTACTGATTTGTCATGCCCCAAGAACCGAAGTCGTTTGAAAGAAGAACTTAGGCATTCTCCCCCTGACCTGTTAGTGTTGTGTCCACCCTGCACCAATGAAAGTGGCTGGATTCATTTGAACGCCACTCGTATGGAGCGTTTGGAGTTTCTCAGGAAGAAAGCTCAGAGTAGAGCCTTCATTCGTTTTTGCTGTGATTTGTTTCGTCAACAAGTGAGTTTGGGAGGTCGTGCCGTGTTTGAGCACCCTGCTACATCACAGATGTGGCAATATCCCGAAGTCCAGTCCTTGTGCCGGCGATACTTTGTGACCAAGTTGCACATGTGCCAATATGACATGCGTTTACCTGGAAGTGACCACTTCATCCGTAAAGCAACTAAACTGTTGTTAACTCATGAAGACATGATGTCACTTGGTAGATTGTGCCCTGGTTCCTCTGATCCACAGCATGCGTGCCACGATGTCATAGCCGGCAGCCATCCGAAAGTGGGAGCTGTCAGCACTTTTGCAGGTCAGTATCCGCCCAAGTTTGTACAGGCCGTGCTTGAGACAGTCCCCAGATTCCGTGATCAAGAGGTTCTGACGTTGTCTTGCGATGATGTTTCTGAAAAGCAATGGCGTGATGTTACCGAAGTTTGTGCCATCACCCGCGAGCAACCATCCGAGGCCCAGATGATGCAAACTTTGACTAAGCTCCATAAGAACTTAGGTCACCCACCCAATGCGGACATGGTGCGTTTGTTGAAACATGGACAAGCCTCGGATCATGCTTTGAACCTGGCTCGCAAATTCACTTGCCCTTTTTGCCAAAGCAGAGAGAAGCCGAAGACACCTCTCCCTGCTAACACGGATCGGGTGTGTGAGTTCAACAAACAATTGGAGTGGATGTCAAGTATTTGCAAGGTTGGAAGACAAATCAAAAGATTAAGGCTTTGAATGTTGTGGATCAAGCTAGCGGTTTCCAACGCATGATTCCTTTCATTGAGAACGAAACATCAAAGCTGTTGCGCCGTTTGTTGGATGAACATTGGATTAGCTGGGCTGGCATTCCAGCTGAGATTATCTTGGATCCTGCTCAGACCAACCTCGCAGATCCGATGACAGGTACAGCTGAGGAACAGGGTTGCGTGGTTCGACAAATCGCTGCTGATGCACACTGGCAACTTGGAAAGACTGAAAATCATGGTGGTTGGTTTAATCGCATCCTACAGAAGATCATAGATCAACATAGCCCATCCAGTCAATCAGAATGGTTGGAGTGCGTCACGGCCGCCCATGTCAAGAATAGCATGATTCATGTCCATGGCCATACACCTCACCAGTTTGTGTTCGGTCGTAATCCAAACGTTCCCTCCAACTTGTTAGATGAGCCTCAGCAGGTGATTCCTGGAACAGTGTCATTAACTGATGAAGCAATTGCGCGTGCTCAGCGAATCCGAGCCACTGCCCGACATGCTGTGCTGGATCTTCAGGATGACCGTTCCCTTCGCAGAGCTTTGTCTGCCCGGCCCAGGACCTTTCGGGATTTCCGACCGGGTGACTTAGTGGCCTATTGGCGTTCTCAGAAGTGGATCAAGGGAGAGTTGCAAAATGAGGGTCGTTGGTATGGCACTGCAATTGTCTTGGGAAATGTTGGCAGAAATTTGGTGTTAGCTCATCGAAAACAAGTGTTGCGTTGTGCTCCAGAGCAGGTCCGTTTTGCAACGAGCGAAGAAAGAACTCTGGTAGGTACACCACAGGCTGAGCTTCTGGGAATCAAGGACCTAATCGAAGGTGGTGCTTTCAAGAGTCAACAATATCTCGATTTGGTGCCCCAGTCATATCCGACAGAACAGCCTCCAGGGTGTGGCTCGCCGGAGCCGGCCAGCAGAGCAGCAAGTGTGCCCGCTGGTTCAACGTTTGAGAGTGTACAGTCAAAGCCTGGTTCTGCAGCAGTGCCGGTTGAAAAGCCGATCGAGCCGAACCTGCAGTCCGAAGAGCCAGATGCCAGTCAGTTGGATTCACAGGCCATCTTGTCGCCTCCCGAGACGCCACCACCCTTTCAAGAAAATATAACTCCACATGCCAAGGTTCCAGGCAATGAGGTCGGCTCTGAGGCTAGCTCCAGCAGTTATGGTCCAGTGCGTAGGCGAGTGTCCGGCAAAGATGGTCCTCAATCCATTTGGCGTCCCGCTGCCCTTCGGCAGGATGATTTTGTCGATCTCATGAAGGAAGTTGTGCCAAAACTCATAGTTGACATGTCCACTGCCCCTGATGCCAGTATGCCAGAATCATCCAAGCGTGCGCACGAAGAGGCAACTGAGCCTTCTGATTCATGTCCGGAGCCACCAGTGTCCAAAGCCCGAACCGAACCAGCCACAGAGGTTCTCTCCGTGGAATGTTTGAACAGCGACCACCTTGACCTGGAAGTGCTATTAGCTGACTATCTTAAGAAGAAGATGCAGAAGGAGTTGCCACATAGTAACAACCAGCCTAGTCTGCAAACCAAGGTCGATGCTGGTAAGAGAGATGAATGGCAGACTTTGCTGAACAAAGGCAATGTTGTTCGTTTGCACTATGGCAAAAAGGCACGTGAGATTAAAGAAAAGTTTGGCCACCGTTTTATTGGTTCTCGGTTTGTGCTCACCCGCAAAGCTGTGGTTGAAGAGAAGCCAATTGACACTAATGACCCTAACACCTTCACGGTCAAGGGTAGGTGGTGCCTTTAGGGTCATTTGGATCCTGATCTGGATGTCAAAGCTGAGGAGGGCCGTCTCAAATCTCCCACGTTGAGCCAAATAGGTAGAGTAGCCTTGCTTCAATTACTGTCTTCTCTAGGTTGGGTCATGCAACTTGGTGACATCAAAGGTGCTTTTCTGGAAGCTGGTGCCCTTGAAGATCGTTTTAGACCTTTATATGCTCACCATCCTCCCGGAGGCATTCCCGGTTTAGATAGTGAAGCCGTCATCGAAATAGTGGGAAATCTATATGGACAGAACGATGCCCCTGCAGCTTGGTTCCAAACCTTTGACCGAGAGCTCAAAGCCCTTGGTTGGACACCCAGTGCTTTTGATGCGTGCCTCTATCATCTAAGAGATTCTGACAATCGTCTTATCGGTTTGCTTGGATGTCATGTAGATGATTGCATGGTAGGTGGATCTGGTGCTCAGTTTGACGCCTCCATCGAAGCCCTGCGCAAGAGGTTTCCATTCAGAAAGTGGAGAACTAGCTCTGGTGAGTTTTGTGGTGCCTTTTACAAACAAGAACCTGATGGCACCATCCATATGTCAATGAAAACGTTTGCACAAAACCTGCGTCCAGCTTCTATTCCCAAAGGTGCCTCTTCAGAAAAATGTTTGGAACCTCATCAAGTGAAAGTACTTCGTGCAATCAATGGTAGCCTGAATTGGCTGTCATCCCAAGGCAGACCTGATTTAGCAGCTCAGACCAGCTTGAGTCAACAGAGCTTTCCAAACCCAAAGATGAAGCACTTGAAACAAGCCAGCAATATCGTTCGACGTGCAAAACAGCATAGCGACCTTTCTCTGACCTTTTCACCCATTCCTCTTGAATCATTGACAGTAGTTTGTCACTCTGATGCAGCTTTTGCTAACGTTGGTAATCACACTCAAGCTGGTTACGTTATAGCGTTTGCACATGAATCATTGAACAATGGACAAATGGTCCAATGGAATCCTGCAGTTTGGAAAAGCTTTCGCTTAGCCAGAGCAGTATCCTCTACATTAGCTGCCGAGTCTCAAGCGATGTCAATCGCATCTGGTACAGTGGAATGGCTGATGCTTATCATTGCTGAACTTTTGGACGGTCCTTTCAGTGTAAGGCAGGCATGTGCTGTGTTGAAACGAAGATCTCCAATTTTGGTAACCGATTGCAAGTCGTTGTATGACCATCTTGCTTCACCCTCTAGCCCCACTGCCGCGGAGGATCGAAGAACCAGCATTGATATTACCATAATTAGAGAAAGCATCCGTAATGCCTCTATGCATGTTCGTTGGGTGCCTACAGACCGAATGTTAGCCGACAGTCTAACAAAAGATGCCGGTGACCCAGTCGATTTGTTGCGCTCATGCATGAGAAGTTCCAGTTATCAGATTTCTCCAGAGTCAGAAGTTTTGGATAGACAAGCCATGGAAAAGCAAAGACGTTTGGGTCGAACACCTCAGTTTTCTGATGTTGGTGCTGACAGTTCACAACTCCAAAAATAGTGACTGCAAGATGTCAGAACCATTGCATCCGTTTTTGCATGTTTTGAGTTTTTGTGACCTTGTAAAAAGCAAATCATCACAGATAGCGCGCCTTTCTCCATCTGATGCAAATGCTCGTGGTAGAAACATTGCTGGGTACGATGTGAGATTTTGCGTAAGCCTGTGTTTGAATTCGTTTTGTCGAGCTCTCAAACCCGAGTCCTGCGTTTATTTTTCTGCATTGAAGATACAGTAGTTTGTGTACAGTGCTCATGTCGCTTAGCACTTTGTCTTCGACGGAGTTGTCAAGCCTGAAGTTTCTGTTGCTCAAAGCGCAGCAGTCTGGTGTGCTTGAAGAGCTCCTTACTGGCGTGAAAGCCCCCACGATCATTGGAGATGGTGATTCTGAAGCCTCCTGGGATCCTCTCACCCAGGGAGCCATGACCGATGCCAGCAAGCGTCAGCTGTCTCCTCCGCCGGACGCTGCAGCGAAGTCTGGAAAGACCGGCGCAAGCTCCATGGAAAGCTTGTCAGTGACAGTGACGGTGGCTCAGTGGCATCAAATGGATGCATCGGCTCATGGACAGCTGCCCAGCCAGGTGCCGTCTTGCCGTCAATGGGCACAGACCATCATCACCTTTGGCAAGATGAAGTCTCAGGAGTTAAGCTATTTGGAGCTGGTGTCGAGCAAGGACATCGCCCATTCTGGCTATGTCAAGTGGATCCGTGAACACGTGAGTGAGTCATCCTCCGCTCAGCTCAAGGATCTCGCCAAGTTCATTGAGGTTTACAATTCAGTGGTTCCAATCAGTGGCCTCTCCGAGACTTGCTTCCCAGGATCGTCTGTGGTGCGCCAGTACAAGAAATAGTGACATGAGAAACCCAAAGACCTGGCCATTTCTGATGGAATAGCATTTTGCTCTGCTGCCCTTTCAACTGGCGTGACTGGGAAAGTCACTTTACAAAAACCGAATACAGAATATAACCAGTGTGAATTCCAGCAGCCATCACTTCAGGTCCTTTTACCAATGCATGTGTTCGCAGGGAACTTTCCGTCAAGCGAGGAAAACAGAGCCCGTGCGATGCTCCTGGGGGAGCTCTTGCGTTTTGATATATATGTCTATACATATTATCACTACTATGTCTATACATGTCATCTGCATATCATAGGCCTTTTGTGTCCCCCGGTGTTTTCTTTTCGCTTTGTCAAAAATACGGATGAGGACCTGGTTCGTGCCGTGGCCGATGTGGCGGACGCCAAGGTGGTGCATCTGCAGGTGCAGCTGGCGATTTTTCAGGGTTTCCATGGATGAAGATGGTGAATTTCCATGCGATTTAAGATGTTTTTTTTGCATGAAAATATAGGAAAATTGAAGATCCAAGCAGGAAAGATATGGAACTATGACATATGAACTGGATTGGTTTGAGGGAAAACTTACAAGAAGAAGCAACACTTGATGGTACAAACCATGGTTTTCTGGAGAATTTCCTTCAAAATCATGAATCCATTGATTCGAACTAAAAAAACGTCGGAGATCATCGCAGGGCTCTCGTGGCAGGATGGTGCAGATATGGACGTCGCAGAAGATGCCGATTTCTGGTACCTTGGCAGCTGATCAGCGAAAGATACACAGGAAGAGTTAGCATGGCATGACATGAGACGGGCATGTGTACAGTAATTGTACAGAGAATAACTGGCTGGTGGTTTCAAACATTTTTTATTTTCCATTTCATATATGGGATACTGCTTCCCATTGACTAATATTTTTCAAGATGGTTGAAACCACCAACCAGATAATAGCGATCCATGCCTGGTGAACAATCCGTTACTATGGTGGTTTATCTCATTGGTCCATTTTCCACGGAAAAACCGGTCCTTTCCGGCAGGCATTTGGTGGGATTTCTGCAACTCCTCCGCTGTGCCAACCAAAGGCCTGCCAAGGACCCGGCATAGTTGCAGAAATGTCTTTTAATGATCGGGATAATCCATACCATCATCATCATCATCATCATTTTCATTTTCACAGTAAGAAAACCAGTAATGGACCAGTAACATATAAGCAATAATCACCATCATGCTTCTGATGACTATCAGCATTTGATAGGTGCACTTTCACAATGCATACATCATGCAATCTATAGTTTTAATGTTTGGAATTTCATCATCATTCTAAGATAAGCTGCAAACACTTGTAGACCGGACAGACCCAGTGCAGCGACTTACAAGCACAAGCTGGCAGCAACGACAGCATACTGGCAATGGAGTGAGGGAGGATTCTTGATTATTTTCCTGTAATAATCTTATGACACCCCCAAATTTGGGGGCCAACTCCTTCTCGTTTGCAGCTCACAAGTCGTGCCAAAAATCGTGCCTTCTCGGTGAATTCATGGAGATTTTTATGTCGAACGCTTCCAATATGATTCATTTCGAAGTTCAATGCCGATTTTTTCCCAAACATTTTGGAAGCCCCCATGATGTTTATCTGATATTTTCGAAGTTGAACTAGACAACTATTTTACCAACTGAACATTTTCCGATATTTTGAACTGCCCAACTGTTTTTTCCACAGCTGTTTCCACCTGCCAGGAGACGCGCTTTGGCGAGCTCACGCCCCGGGGGCCCCGGGTGCCGGAGACGGAGTTCGTGCTCGGGGGCATCGACAAGTGTGACGCGCAGGCGCTTTTCGTTGATGGGATATCATTGGAGAATGATTGATATCATATGAGAGTAGGATATCATATTAGAGTAGAATATCACAGGATATCATTACTTATTACTTGTATTATTGTGAAAATGATGGTGATGATGGTGATGATGGTGATGATGGTGATGATGGTGATGATGATGATGACGATGATGATGATGATGATGATGACGATGATGATCATGATGATGATGATGATGACGACGACGACGAGGATGATGATGATGATGATGACGACGACGACGACGATGATGATTTTTTTTTTTTTTCTGCCGCTGCTGTTGTTGTTGTTGCTGATGGTCTCTCTCTATATTTATATATATATGGACTGTGGATGGTTCAGCATCTGTGTCTGACACCAAAGCTGCGAGGCGGAGTGGGAGCGATGGAAGAAATACAAGGAGAACTGTGATGGATGGGACACAGCTGTGAGGTGTGTGATGGCGGTAATGTCATGTAAATGTATATCATTAAATGCAACCAATGTGCATGTTTCAAGCGAAGATACGGGGATGAAGCAACAGAATGAGGAAACACCAGGGCCAGGATAATGCTTCGCAAGACGAGTGATTTTAACAATTTGGTCACCTGCACGTATTCGATGCCTGCGCATACCAGAGGCAAACATTTATATGGATGCATTTAGGAACAAGACATTTGTTTGGCTAGTTTACTTGTTATTTGGATTCACTGCAGCCAAAAACAACTGCCGGGCAACAATCCAAATGCGAGATTCAAGATAAAACTCAGATATGATGATTAGTGTTTGGAGACCTGAACGTCATTCTAAGCTTCACTTGCTGCCTATAAGTTTAATGTGGTAAAACCCACTGAAAAACCAGCATTGGTGATGACACCGTCTAGTCCTCCACTCCACGGAACAGCTGCCAGGATCGGCAGATCAAGCCTGAGCGCATCGTCGTAGAAGAAGAATTCCAGGCATTTTATCCGGTCACCACCAACGGACGTCTTCTGTTGTTGTTGTTGTTGTTGCTGTTCTTCTTCTTCTTCTTCTTGTTGTTCTTGTTGTTGTTGTTGTTGTTGTCGTTGTTGTTGTTGTTGTTGTTGTTTTCCTAACGTCCCTTTTGAGAGTATTTCGCCATCCAAAGGAAGGTGATCGTTTTTTGACCATAGCCATCTTATTTCGGAAAACGGTCGGTTTTGTTCAGACCCTGGGCGCTGGTTGATGTGATAAAACACACCTGCAGGTGATCTCCCAACCATCACCGCACGCGTTCGATGGAAATCGATGGCGCAGGAAACGACCATTTCTTTCCGGTGTGTCGATGTTTCTTCGAAACAGATCCTTAAACCAAAAAAGAGGGGGATGATAAAACGCCAACTTTCGTCATCCTTTGACCGGTGGAAAGGTGGATGGCGCCTTCGCGTTGTTCCTAGTGCATGGTGATCTGGTACCTTTATCCTTCCGAAGCCCGGCTACGAATCCATGGGTAGGGATGGCTCAATGCCAACAATGGAGGTTTCGCCGACCATTGGAGTTTTGGGATGAACATCCATGAGCTTACGCGATAACCGCTTGTTGGAAACCCAGGGCAGCATATGGCAGCATGGTGAAATGTTCGCGATGCCCAAGGGGACACGGACCTATAGGAGAAACGGATTGATGATAAGATTGTGCATCTCCGAAAAAAATGACACTTGGGAACCCAAGTTGTCCCCGCTACATCTAACAGGCACCGCCAAAAAGGGGCTTGGACGAACATGCTTTCATCATTGAACATACACATTTTGGGTAAATCCATTTCACCCAAATACACATAACAAAAAATCCAAACTAAAACTCGAAATAAGCCATGGTCACACCACTTTTTTTTCCCACATCAGTCCGTGAACGCCTCAACTGGCAGCCTTCTCCAAGGTCAGCGTTGCCTGGACTCAGACCTGGAAGATTTGCAGATGAAAGTGAAACGCCCTCTGCTCCTGGGCTGCTGATGGTGAGATTTTTGAATGGTGTGTGACATCAACCAGAGAGTTTGGACAGGTAGTGTCCCAAGGTCGGTGCTAGAATTGGATGCAAACTGATAGGGTTAACACCCCAAATTTGTGGGGGGTGCCCTAAAGTCTGAAGCAACATGTGACTCACGCACATATCCACATGTCTGCTGAGTAAGGTTTTGAGTCCATTTGTCCATTTGTCTTTTCAGAGTTGATCTTTGTTTTTTACCAATCCTTTTGTTTTGTCACTTTCTGGACCCAGTTGTTGTCCATGTTCTGTTCCAACAAAAAAAGGTGGCTCTGCATCGTAATTGCAAGTCTTTCAAAACTTGGTAGGACTCCACGTTCAGGCTCTAGGTTCACCTAGAGCCTCTGGGGAATCAAACATGGCAAGCTGGAGAATCACCCAGAAATAGTTCCTTGATTTTCCTAGCGAACCAAACCTCCATGGCGTGGCCACAGGGATTTCCCAGCTCGAGTTGGAGCAGCTGGTATGATCATTGCCATCAGAAATCAGCTGCTTCGATCACCAGATTCCACGGCTAGACTTTCAACCAATTTCTTTGATTCCTTCAAAACATGAGCACAGCATCTTCATATGGGGATGGGTTTTGTACCTAGTGAACATCAAAATAGCTTGGATTTATGGATGTTCATCCCACTAGAAATGGTATTTATAGGTATTGATCCATACCCATATTTGATTGATCTCCAGAGATCTCCCATTTCTCCAAGTCCAAACATCGTCGATGTTTCGGCGTCTCTGACCGCCTGGGCTGCACAGGTTGACGTGTCAGGTGCCCCGCAGCCCCGCGCGCACCCTGCGGCTGAGCGCCCTGCGAGCGTTGGTGAAAGTGACCGGCGCTCGACGCTTGGCGGCGCACTTCCTGCGGGAGAGGCCGGGGGGGATCAGTGCCCCGGGTGGACCGGTGCAGGGCAGATTTTTGTTTGGGTGGATGATAGGCAAAGTTGGGGAGGAGATGGAGATGATATGATTTTTTTGGGGATTTGAAGAACTGCATGGGGATTTTATAGCAGAATAGCAGGAAATGATCGTAAATGGGCATTGGAGTGAGAATCAATGGGGCCCCCGGTGATTAGGAGCAATGGGGATGAAACCATCAACAAATGGGGAATTTACCAACAATGAATGGGGATTTACCAAATAGATCCAAATAGTCGGTAGCTGGATTATATATACATGCCCTCATATTATTTCAGGGACAGAATGGCATTTTTTTTACATGGGATGGATTGACCCAGCTACTACCCATCTACCCATTTCAGTGATTATAGAAGCAAGGAAGATCAACAATATTTGGGGGAGTTGGGACAACCATCTGAGTAAAATAGAGAAAGATATCTCCAGTTGATCACAATTTTGGTGGGTCGATGAGTTGAGATGAAGCATGTTTCGACAGAGATACATATGTTACAGTATATACATGTATATACTTAGTATATACAGGTAGGTGGGTGGGTGCGTAGCTAGATGGATTTAGATTGTTGGTGAGTGAGATAGATAGATAGATAGATAGATAGATAGATAGATAGATAGATTGATTGATTGATTGATTTTGGAGACGGACAATTAGATCGTTAAGTACTTCAATTAGACTAATAGGGTTAGGTTCGATGGTCCCATCCGCCAGGGGTCGAGGTTTGGGCGTGGCGCGGGAGTTCTTAGCACTGACCATGGAGGTGCCCAAGATCTTGGCCCCTGGCCAGGCTATAGGACCCAAAAATGGCTAGGCTGGAACTCCTCAAAAAAGATGGGAAAGTATCCATTTACCGTCATTTACCACTCTTCTGGCCATTTCAAAGGGATTTTCGAGTTTTTGAAATTCTTTTTGTAGGTTGCGACAAATGTCTGAAGACTCAGAAATCCAGACGTTCCAATTCCGGGCGGTTCCATCTTTCCGGCGGGAAAAAACCCTGGTGGGTTGGGATCCAATCTCCAGGTGCCCCCACAAAAAACCGCTCCGTCGGTTCATCCCCCAAATCCTCCGAAAAGGGGTTAGACACAACCTGGCTGACCCCAATTCTCAAATGGCAAAAAATCGCGTCGCACTGTGGCACAGATACTCTCCCGGTGTGGTTAATTATACTGACAACAAGAATTGTTGTTCATCCTCTCATCTTTGTCAGTTGAATCCCCACTGCTTGTACATGTATGCAGGAGACAGCAGATTGATTCCGATCCTTACCAGCAAACTTCCATTGATGGCTTGTTTAAAATCAAGTCAAACAACCCGTTGATGTTTACGGTAGATCACCCCCTTGTTGATAGTCGCATCCTCATCTATCGACGGCAGCTCCATTTTTGATCCTTGGAAACTGTCCAAAATTCATCACAGCCAGCAGGCCTTCATGACGGCCAAAAACGGGCAACACTTGGAGGAGCTGCTAGAGAAGCAAACCATCCAACATGTTTCTAGCCCAACTTTTGGAAGTTTATTGCGATTCTCCTTTCTTTTTTTTGAGCGAGGGGGGGTACGAACCATTAACGAGGAAATGAGATGGTGCTGAGTGCTGAGGTAAAGGGGCATCAAAGGCCCCCATTTTGTCCCCAGTAGTTTAGCGCTGGAGTTTTGCAGGTTTGAAGTTGTCCTAGTTGTCAAAATTATCAACGCAAGCTGCCAACTTTTGTGTTCTTCAGTATGAGTAGGTCATTCCACAGCGTATGTAGTATGTACATGTATGTACAGGGTGAATCTCCTGTATCATGTTTTGCCCGGCGTGAAAGCGATGTCGTGTCACGCCAGGAGGGTCAGGAGCTGTGGGACTATGACAAGGAATCCAGGAGCAGCTGTGAGCAATTGACAGTGTTGGTGATTTGGCCATGCACTAATTATCCATCGAGGACGAGTGGAAGTTGAGGACGATGTGTCGCAGTCCGGGTTGACGATGATTTGAAGTTGATGGACTTAACCAGGGTATACCAGGGTAGACCAGGAGCACCATTCCTGGGATGCACATCCATGAGATTATCAGAGGGTAGGTATTTTTGATGTCATCCCGATTGCTGTCAATTCCATCCCCATTCTTGTTGGTTCAATCGCCAGTGCTTGGGTTTGATCTTGATTTTCTGGTTGGTGAATTTGCATGTTTTTCCGTCCAAAACTTCATTGGTACATTTTCAATTTTTGTTAGTTACCCTCTGGTAAACTACTTGTAACATAACCATGGAAAATCACCATTTTTAATGGGAACATCCACTATTAATGGCCATTTTCAATAGCTGCGTTAAATTACCAGAGGGTAACATGTTTATTTTGGTTTTCACCATGTTTATTTTGTCTGAAAATATGGGAACATATGGGACAATGATGAGAATCCCTTGGAATATTGCTGGGTTTCCCCTAAATTTTCCCAACATGTCACTAGAGATCATTTTAGGCCTTTCATCCCTAAATCTTTGTTTTTTTTAATCCTCCGTTATTTGCAGAAGAGCCTAACTAAATTTGGAGATGAGAAAGACATCGACATTCTCCTAAATGTGAATTTGCAAATTTCATAAATGTCATCAACAATTTCCTCATTTTCTCCAAGAAATTTGCAAATTTCATAAATGTCATCAACATTTTCCCCATTTTCTCCAAGAAATTTGTAGAAAAGCCAACCCTCCACCGATGTCCGCGGCAGGACCTTTTGGTTCGCCGAGGACCTGAAAGCCTCGGCGCAGGCTCTTCAGCTCTTCCGGGCTGTCGGGGTGCTGATGGCACAGGCCGAGACATGGGGATGAATCGATGGTGAGATGTGGGTGGTATGTGTAATATATATATATATACATATATAGTATATATAATATAATATATATATAATATAATATATATATATATATATAATATAATATATATATATAATATATAATATATATATATACATATATATATATATATATGTACATGTGCTATACATATTATGTATTTGGTGAATAGATGAAGCACCCGGGGATCAGTGAAAAATATGGAATACGGCGAAAAAAATCATCACGGTTTTGTGGGAACATCTTCCAGAAGTCCCTTGCATTAATGTGGGAGGATGATATGGGTTTGTTTGAATATGGTATATAATGATATATATATGTATACATACATGCTCCCCACTGTTTAGTACGCCATGCTTTGCCCCAGGGCTTGGAAACCATGCTTGACCTGTGAGCCTTGCAAAAGTCTCAGGGATACACGAACTTGTTTTTTTTTCTATGTCTGTAGGGTTCTATAGTACTTATATCTATAGTAACTATACGGGCAACCCCCTCAGTTTGCCCGCGCGGACGCCGACGACATGTCCGAACATCAAACAACGCTGTGTTTTGTGGGATAAAATGCACATGTCCATGATCATGGCTTTCATCTTGCCACGCACAGCTTAGCTACCTGTGCGTTGAATGTTACAACAACAACAACATCATCATCAACATCATCAACATCAACATCAACATCAACATCAACATCATCATCATCATCATCATCATCATCATCATCATCATCATCAGCATCATCACCGTCATCATCACCGTCATCGTCGTCATCATCATCATCATCATCATTGAATGTAAAGTTTAACGGGGGTGGGAATTTATATTCCTAATACCCTTCTTGATCTTCCCAATTGAATGTAAAGTTTAACGGCGGTGGGAAATGTATATTCCTAATACCCTTCTTGATCTTCCCAATTGAATGTAAAGTTTAACGGGGGTGGGAATTTATATTCCTAATACCCTTGTTGACCTTCCCAATTGAATGTGAAGCTTAACGGGGGTCAGAATTTATATTCCTTCAAAATCCCTAAGAAGTTGTGTGGGCGAACTGGGGGGTTTGCGCGTAACTATACTACTTCATAGTACTTCTATAGTACTTATATGAACTTGTAGATGCCTAGTAGTACTTATATCTATAGTAACTATAGTAACTATAGTACTTATATGTACTTCTACATTGATTTTCGATCTAATATGGAGCCAAGATACCTCACCTCCGCCGTTGCCGGGTCGCCACTTGGATGCAGGCACTGCTCACAGGAACCCGATTACAGGTGGATCTCGGGGATACGTCCATGCTTGGCGAATTTAAGCATCAACCATAGAGATTTAATGGGGTATCATGGGCATATCATGGGAGGGATATTGCCTGGGATGATTGACGTGGAAAGTGGCTGCTGCCCCCCCCGGTTGATATGATGAGTTCGGGGATTTTCTTCACAAACCGATAGGAAAATTGGGGAATCTCAGGATCAACAGGGAATCCAGTTCTCAACCAACCAAATGATGGGATTTTCCAGCCAGGTTCGTTTACCAACTGTTGGGTACCTCAAACAACGGGATGAATTTCAGACAAAGTTGGACCACTGATCATTGAAGGGGAGGGGGAACACATGGTACCAGAGGTGGTTAATTCACATAGCTATGGAAGCGGCCCATAGAATAGATTTCTTAGGATGACTTTCCAAATTTAAAAATGATGATTTGCCACAGTTACGTTAAATCAGCAGATGGTATCTGATTTGTTTGGGTAATCACTGGAGAATCTTGCCTCTGAATTTGGTCCGAGGAACCTTGGAATTCTTGCATCGTTTGGTTCAACAAATGGGTACTCAGATTTATAAAGGCAAATCTGAGATGTAACTTCTAGGTGTTCAATTAGCAGAGACTTCATGAGATTTCTACACTTTTATGCAGCTACCTTTGCCCTCAACAACGTCCTCTGAAATCAGTTCCGACTCCTGGGAAGATAGTGAGGTACACCCCAAGGCTTTTCCTCTCGAATGGCTTGGCCACATATATATATATATATTATTTACACGTATATATAGATATACATATACATGTATACGCATAAATCTGAGGTACACCCCACAAGTCCAATCAGATCTTGGAGGAAACGATTTTCAAAAGCACTGGTTTTGCAGTAAAACCAATCCTTTTCTCATGGCACTTCCAGGTCTCTTTCCCAACCTTGCTGTATAGCCTGCTTCTGCGACACCTGGGCCTGGACACCTGGAAATTCTGATGATTTGATGTTATAAACTGTGTGAAGCATATGGGGATTTTCATAACTATGAATGGGATATTCATAGTTATTCATGGGCTAATTGAGGTTCCAAAACATGGTTTTTATTGATGGTTCTGAATTGTAGATGAAGATAGCCAGGTTGAGCCGGGTTTTCTAAAAACTATCTGGTCGTGGCATCCCGATATGTCAAAAGGTGTTTTTTTGTGATGGGGAACGGTTCCCGAATTTTCAGAGCGCCCGACTTGCCTGCAAACTATTTAGAAAAAAACATGACTTGGCATTGTATCATTTCCTTACATGATGTGCTGTATCTACTTACAGGTCATTTCCAAAGGGCTGTCCCTTTGCGGAAAAGGCAATGGAGCCATGGTACATCAACATCTCCACATGGGATGCATGAGTCCAAATTCCAAATTTGATGCTTTAGAACCTAATTACTCGCATCATTCTATACATACATAATTATATATATATATATGTATATTATATGTATGTATTTATGTGTATATATATACACGTTTTTTGGGTGCCTATCCCCTATTTTTAAAAGGCTAAAAGGCACACCCATAATTATATATAATATATGTATATTATATGTATATATATATATATTATATGTATGTATATATGTGTATATATATACATATATATATATATATATCTATATACGTTTTTTGGGTGCCTATCCCCTATGTCAAGCTGGTGATATATTTCTCATGACATATCCCCATAAGAATATCTATGTTTGATTTTATATCCCAATTAGTACTTCTATCTGTTATTGGTGGCACTATATCATGTCAAGTTCGTGACAAATGTAGGTTATGTCCATTTACATAATCAAGCATAGAAACCCAAACATACATATAGAATCGTGCATATATATATATATATGTATATATTACACTATATAATGACACACACACATATATATATAATATATATATATATATATATCTACAAGAATAACAATAGTATGAATTCAAACACGTTAAACGTAGCAATACAAATGATCATATGATTATGTATATATATATATATACACACTGTATATATTCCCTAGATATCCCATGATACCATGAACTCCAGCAATAAAAATCGTTGAGGCGCCGTGTCCGTGGCACCTCCCGGCTTGGCGGATCTGGCAGCCTTGAGGCGGAGGATTTTTTTTCGGACGTTTCCCACGGTGTTTAACGGGTGGAGTTTCGGGGGATTTTCCATGGTTTCCTGGGGATTTTCGGGGGATTTTCTTGGGATTTCCTGGGGATTTTCTTGGGATTTTCTGGGGATTTTCCAGGATTCAAAGATTCAAAGAAAACTGAGGCAGAGTGTCAGAGCTTAAGTTTTTTTGCGGAACATTTCTCTGTGTTTGATTCGAAGATTCACTTACACAATGTGTAAAATATGCAGCAAAGCATGATGGAAAAAAACATTTTGTTTTTTTGAATCGTCAGCCCACTCCGTTTCATCTTTCTGATGTCAGCTCTGAGGCCATGCTTGGCCAAAGGTCTTCAGGAACTGCTGGCATACGAGAAGGACGATGTGGCCGAGGCAGGTGGGAAGGAAGTTTCCAGCAAGTTTAATTACATATGTCATATCTTTACATATAATAGTTATATATATACATATATTTAATATTATTCAATACATTTAAAGATGTTGACATTTCATTTTAATTAAAAAAAAGTACCGTGTTTTTTCTGTTAAGATTTGGACATTACTAATTGGGATTTGACCCGCAAAGAACGGCAAACAATTGCTACACAAGCAATGACTATTGTGGATGATGATTTTTGCTGGCCAAGTCATGGGGAACAACTTGGACAGACCGGGTAGACTTGTTTGGGTAAGTTACGAAGTAAAATATGCCAGAACTGAGAATGAGGGAACCTCAGGGTATGTAAGATTAACTATGTATATGTTATGCACTAAGTGCCTTAGCCAACTCAAGTCTTCGAGTCTTGTAAACCTACCCTGGTGGGTTTCAGCCTCTGCTGGTGGCTTTGGAGCCACATTGAAATATCAACCCTTGAAGTTGACAATGCCCTGTGAATTTCCGGAGAGGGATTCAGAGTCCAGTTGCCAAAAATTTCCCAAACATAGTTTGAGATTCACAAACATACAGTTTAACCTCAATTTTGTTGTTTGTTGTCCAATCCATTTACTTCTTACCTATCCCAGACATGCCAAACAACAATATCAGTCGGTGACACCCCCGCAGTAACTTCTTTCGGGGAATTCCGAAGAATACAAAGGCCAACCCCTGTTGATGATAGTATGGGATTACACTACCCCTTGAATATTTGGAATTATCATATCCATGAACGTGGGCAAAACAATAAACAATCCCCCAAATCACCATTTTTATATGTGTCATGTTTACCATTCCCAGTCATGGGTGGTTTATGACATTGTTTTACCCACATTGTTCCAATTATTAACCATTATTAACCATTATTAACCTTTATTACCAAGAATTAACCATTATTAAGCATTATTAACAATTATTAACAATTATTGAGCATTATTAACCATTATTAACAAGAATTATCCATTATTAACCATTATCAACCATTGTTAACCATTATTAGCCATTATTAGTCTTTATTAACCTTTATTAACAATAATTAGCCATTATTAACCTTTATTAACAAGAATTAACCTTTATTAACCTTTATGAACAAGAATTAGCCATTATATATTAACCATTATCAACCATTATTAACCATTATTAACCATTATTAACCATTATTAACCATTATCAACCATTATTAACCATTATCAACCATTATTAACCATTGTCTACCTTTAATAACAATTTAGCCATTATTAACCTTTATTAACCATTATTAACCATGATCAACCATTATTCACCATTATTCACCATTATTAACAAGAATTAACCATTATTAACCATTATTAAGCATTATTAACAATTATTAACAATTATTAAGCATTATTAACCATTATTAACAAGAATTATCCATTATTAACCATTATCAACCATTGTTAACCATTATTAGCCATTATTAGTCTTTATTAACCTTTATTAACAATAATTAGCCATTATTAACCTTTATTAACAAGAATTAACCTTTATTAACCTTTATTAACAAGAATTAGCCATTATATATTAACCATTATCAACCATTTTTAACCATTATTAACCATTATTAACCATTCCTAACCATTATTAACCATTATCAACCATTATTAACAATTATTAACCATTATTAACCATTATCAACCATTATTCACCATTATTCACCATTATTAACAAGAATTAACCTTTATCAACAAAAATTAACCATTATTACAGATATAATCTTATTAAAATCCATCATGAAATGTTGGTGGAGCCATGAGTAAACTCATCCCAGCTTTCGCAGGTCTTCCCGCTGGACTGGCCGCGGGGCGAGGAGCTGTGCTCGGGCAATCGGGCGGAGCACGTGGCTCGACACAACGCACGCGGAGTGGGGGAGATTTTTCCAGCAAAACTGGGGGGTTTGAATAGCAAAATTGGGATTTTACTAGCAAAACTCGCGAACATGGAGATTTGACTTGCACAGAAACACGGGGTTTTACCAACAACAAATGGAGATTTCATAGGCAAAAAGCCAGTGATGCAGCCCATGGAAACCTGTGCAGTGACTTGTGTGATTTGGCAATGGAACTAAACCGTGGTCAGACACAAAGATTATCTTACACTTAATTCAACAATTGACCAAATCCGCTAGTTGATATGACCCCCACCCATTGATCCCAATCAGATCGGAACCAGAGATGGATAGAGCATCTTGAGTGTGTACCCTCCAGTAAACGTGGCTAGCTGGGAATTCCCGGTTGCCTTTAAATGAATGTTTCTAGCTGGGAAAATCATCCAAAAAAAACACCTTTTTGGTATCCATCATACATCCCAAAAAATCCATCATACATTCCAAGAATTCCTACCCTCTGGTAATTTAACATAGCTATGGAAAATCACCATTTTTAATGGGAAAATCCACTATAAATGGCCATTTTCAATAGCTATGTTAGTTTACCAGAGGGTATTCAATCCCATGAAATCCGAAGGGAACTTCGACCATTTCGAAGCCTCTTTGAATGGATGGAAAAATTTCGTGGGGATCCAGGTCGAGGCCTATGTGCAATGGTTCCTGCGGGAGAAGTTTCGTGCCCAGCTGGAGCCCTTGTTGGTGCCTTGGCCGAAATTCTAGGGGAAACCGTGGGAAAACCATGGAAAAACCATGGAAAAACCATGGAAAAAGCATGGGACAACCATAGGACATCTCGGAAATCCCGGAACGAAATGGAGGCTTATGGAGGCTTATAGCTGGGAAAATCCTCGAAATAAACTATAGCTGGGAGATTTTCCAGCTGTTTGATGACAGCGGAGGGTAATTATTGATGGGATATTAACTATACAGACTATACATGACTATATGCATGCTTCTGGATTCGTATTTTTTAAATCAACAGTTTCGTTTTTCCCCTTTTTTCCAATGGGGAGAAAAAGATCATTGGGGCCCATGGGCGACACATCACAGCCAACATCATCTGGAGTCCTTCCGCCTTGCGCCAGGATGGCTTCAAGCAAGTGCTGCAAAACTGTGAGTTCCTGAAGGTGGGAGCCTCCCAGTGTTGGTTGGTTGAACACATTTTGCTGGATCAAATTCACACGGAAAATAGTGACTTCGTGGATTTCGTGGCGTGCAGAGAAAGGGGGATGGGTCAAAACCTATGGATCCTATGGGACCATGTTTGGGGATGGTCAAAACATCCATAACTTCCAGCCATTTTTGTTTCAACCCACCAGGATGAATCGACCAAGAACAAACCGTCCGTGGAAAAGGTGTTTTTTTTTTATCATGTAAAAAATCCAACATTTTCTGGGTGAAATCTGTGAAAGCCCAGTTCTGGTTGCGTAAATCCCAATGTTCCTGTTTGGTGGTTTCCTAAAATAGGGGTACCCCCAGTCATCATCTATTTTAGTAGGATTTTCATGGATTTTCCATTATAAACAATCCATTGTGGGGTAACCCCATTTTAGGAAACCTCCTATTTCGTATTTGTGAACACCCAGCTCCATGAGGGTCAGTGCCTTCCGCACAGACCTTGGTGAACGCCAGCCAGCTGGAGCCGAGAAACTTTCGGCTGGGGGGTTGCCGGACCCAGGATTTCGTACCGAAGGGGGATAATTAATAGAAGTTATTGGGACTTATTAATAGTAGTCAATAATTACCGTACTGGTTAATACATGTTAAATACCTATTTAATAGTCAATGCCAATTTTTTGGGTACTTATTTAATTGATTTTAATTGTAATTACTGGGACCCCTATTTTATATCTGGTTGGTGGTTTGGAACATCTTCTATTTTTCCACATATTGGGAATAATCATCCCAACTGACGAACTCCATCATTTTTCAGAGGGGTAGGTCAACCACCAACCAGATTAGTATTTCCCATCATTAACCATATAATAGCCATCATCATTAACCATTATTAACAGTATATTAACCACATATTAAGCATCATTAACAGTATATTAACCCATTAAAACCTCCATTTATGGTTGGAATTCACCATCATTAACCATTAACCACATATTAACCACATATCAACCATATATTTATCGAACTTGCTCGATCCCCAGCAAGGAGCAGATGCTTTGCGGCGTGGAAGAGCCCTTGGACGTACAGCAGCTGCGCTTGACGGCGCGGATGGAGGGCTTTGATGAGGACTTCAAGGAGCGTGGCGATGGCGAAAATCATCGAAGTCAATGGTGGATTTTGGGAAATGGATCAGGAAAGTTCAAGCCAAGATGAGTTGCTGGGCTAATGTTTCAGTTGAAACCAGTTACTCATCTTGGAACATCAAAATCAAGCTTCATCTTGACCATTTTTTTTAAACCATTTTGACCATTTCAAATTAGTCACCTGGGTTCATTCTTGGGACACCAAAACCGAGGTGAAACCCACGATTCACATCTAATTTCAACCCAACATATCTTGGATCTTGGATTCAAAGGGTGGAGACCCCCAGTTCCGCTTTCTCGATCTCCAAGATTCCCATTGATGTTGTTTTTTTTACCCCATTATATCCCGATATAAAGATGGGTCAAAACCTACTATCCATAGACAACCATGAAAATCAGCCATGACAAATGGGTACCATTTGGGGGTTTTGACAAAAATAGCACTACAGGCTGGTGCCCAGTTATAAGTTGGTTTATAAACCATTATAACCCCCACGAATACTACAGTTATATCATCTTATGTCTACCATAAACCATAGAATTCAGCCACTTACATCTCAACTTAGGGTTGATGCAACTTAGCTATGGTTGATGGTGGAACATGTTCCACATCTCATGGTAGTCTTCCATATTCCCCAATAGCACTACAGGATGGGCCCGATTAAACTCCGCTTCAGCAACTACGGCTCAGCAACTACGGCTCAGCAACTACGGCTCAGCAACCACGGCTCAGCAACCACGGCTCAGCAACCACGGCTCAGCAACCACGGCTCAGCAACCACGGCTCAGCAACCAAACTAGGTTCTCGCTTCAGCAACTACGCTTCAGCAACTACGCTTCAGCAACCAAAACTAACTCTCGCTTCAGCAACTACGGCTCAGCAACCAAAATCTACTCTCGCTTCAGCAACCAAACCTCAGCAACCAAAACCCACCCCCTCCGGCAAGTACATGCACAGTCTCATCTTCCACGTCATATCAAAATCCCACCCCCTCTGGCAAGCACATGCACAGTCTCATCTTACACGTAATCTCAAAATTCCACCCCCTCTGGCAAGTACATGCACAGTCTCATCTTACACGTCATATCAAAATCCCACCCTCTCTGGCAAGTACATGCACAGTCTCATCTTACACGTAATCTCAAAATCCCACCCCCTCTGGCAAGTACATGCACAGTCTCATCTTACACATCATATCAAAATCCCACCCCCTCTGGCAAGTACATGCACTGTCTCATCTTACACATCATATCAAAATCCCACCCCCTCTGGCAAGTACATGCACAGTCTCATCTTCCACGTCATATCAAAATCCCACCCCCTCTGGCAAGTACATGCACAGTCTCATCTTACACATCATATCAAAATCCCACCCCCTCTGGCAAGTACATGCACAGTCTCATCTTACACATCATATCAAAATCCCACCCTCTCTGGCAAGTACATGCACAGTCTCATCTTACACATCATATCAAAATCCCACCCCCTCTGGCAAGTACATGCACAGTCTCATCTTACACGTAATCTCAAAATCCCACCCCCTCTGGCAAGTACATGCACAGTCTCATCTTACACGTCATATCAAAATCCCACCCCCTCTGGCAAGTACATGCACAGTCTCATCTTACACATCATATCAAAATCCCACCCCCTCTGGCAACTACATGCACAGTCTCATCTTCCACGTCATATCAAAATCCCACCCCTTCTGGCAAGCACATGCACATTCTCATCTTACACATCATATCAAAATCCCACCCCCTATGGCAACTACATGCACAGTCTCATCTTACACATCATATCAAAATCCCACCCCCTCTGGCAAGTACATGCACAGTCTCATCTTCCACGTCATATCAAAATCCCACCCCCTCTGGCAAGTACATGCACAGTCTCATCTTACACGTAATCTCAAAATCCCACCCCCTCTGGCAAGTACATGCACAGTCTCATCTTACACGTCATATCAAAATCCCACCCCTGTGGCAAGTACATGCACAGTCTCACCTTACACGTCATATCAAAATCCCACCCCCTCTGGCAATTACAAGCACAGCCACATTTTACACGTCATATCAAAATCCCACCCCCTCTGGCAAGTACATGCACAGTCTCATCTTACACATCATATCAAAATCCCACCCCCTCTGGCAACTACATGCACAGTCTCATCTGACACATCATATCAAAATCCCACCCCCTCTGGCAAGTACATGCACAGTCTCATCTTACACGCAATCTCAAAATCCCACCCCCTCTGGCAAGTACATGCACAGTCTCACCTTACACGTCATATCAAAATCCCACCCCCTGTGGCAAGTACATGCACAGTCTCACCTTACACGTCATATCAGAATCCCACCCCCTCTGGCAATTACAAGCACAGCCACATTTTACACGTCATATCAAAATCCCACCCCCTCTGGCAAGTACATGCACATTCTCATCTTCCACGTCATATCAAAATCCCACCCCCTCTGGCAAGTACATGCACAGTCTCATCTTACACATCATCGAAGGAAGTTTAGAAGTCAAACTTGCGACAATATGGACAGATGAAAAGCAGAGCAGGGCAGAGGCAGAGAGAAGAGAAAGATTAGAAGAGAGAAGATCAGAAGAGAAAGAGTCAGAAGAAAGAAGATGCAGGTGCGCGAAAAGGTAGGAAAGTCGCGAAACACTGTGTTTTTTGGTGGTTTTGTGGCTCCGGAGGGTTGAAAAGTAGGCTCGCTAAAGCGGCGGATGCGGAGACATCTGGGGAGATGAGAGATGAACAATTGCACGCCGTTGTGGCGCGAAGCACATTTCGAAGTCAACATGTACAAAGCAGACCAGGTCCGGACCACTTTTGGCAGTTGAGATGTCGAAAAAGTGCACGCCGTTGTGGCGCGAAGCACATTTTGAAGTCAACATGTACAAAACACACCAGGTCCGGACCACTTTTGGCAGTTGAGATGTCGAAAAAGTGCACGCCGTTGTGGCGCGAAGCATAGTTGACGGAGCATAGTTTATAATACGGATCTTGGTTTACGATCCATAGTTTACGAGCCATGGTTTACGAGTGTGAGTTTGACCTGTCTAATGTATATTTTGTATAGCCAAGTGATCACATGCCCCCGTTGACATTTGGCTTTAGGGCCCTTGAGTCATACCGCGCTGCCGTGGTAAAAGTTGGGCATTTGACGATCCCGTTTCCAATTCATATTGGTAGCGGAGCAGGTGACGACCTGCATCCGGTGGTACGTCAGTGACCCAGGGAACCCTTTGTGAATTTGAGTCTGGTAACTTTGGGAACCAACTGAACTTCGAGTGTGTCGTGGTTCGGGAATCTGTCTGACCCTGACCAGGGCAGACACTTGTTAACGTTTTTCCTTGTTCGACTCCGAACGGAGCGAGCATCATGTCGATCAATGGCCTTCGTTTCAATCAGGAACGCCATTCGTCGGCACCACTTGAGACGAAGAGTGGATCATACATCTATGCAGGTGATGCGGCGAACTTTCATGATTGGCAGTTCAGGACACTCCTTCGGATTCGTCTTTATGAGCAACAACTGGAGGAGACAAGTAAGTCTGCGGATCCCGTTGGGACCACAGCAACAGAGCCTGCCGCAGAAGACGCAGATGAGTATGCTACTTTTCCAGATTTGTCGGGTGCAACTCAAGCAGCCCAACCTACATCAGCGGTCTCGACTCCGAAGTCTGGAGCTAGCCGGAAATCCTCGAAGTCCGGCAAGCAGAAGACAGATGTTGATCGTGGACCATTGGTCAACAAGGTGATCGAAGGACTGAGAGGAGATGCTTTCTCAATAGCTAGGGATCTTGGACTTGAAGTGTTGTCCGAACCTGGTGGCTTAGTGAAACTTGTGGGTGAGATCAGATCCCATGTGTTTCCAAGAGCTCGTGAGGAAGCAAAGGAACTTTTTCGCGCAGGACAGAAACAAGGTGGACCTTTGTCTCGCCAGCCAGGCGAACCCATGCTTTCCTATGTTCAGAGGAGACGACGTTGGTGGCACATGCTTTGCGAGTTGGATGACACAATGGTGTTTTCGGACAGCTTGAGGACAGAGTTGATGTTGGAGTTGAGTGGGCTCAATCGACAGGAGATCCTCGTTGTGAAGGCCTGTGCAGACACTAAGGATTTTGAAGGTGTTGGCAAGGTGCTGATCGAGAATTACAGTGGCACTCACTTGCGAGAAGGGTCACGATCCTGGACAGGACGTGGTAATCCTCAACAGCATGGCAAGTCGTCAGGCAAGGGTTATGGCAAAGGCAAACCTTCTTCGAAGGGATCGTATTCCCAAGCAGCCTATGCAGCCTACCCCGATGATGGGGAGGAACATGCAGAATCTTGGGATGAAACTGCGAATCAATCCTGGGAGGATGATTCATATGTTGGCATGCTTGGTGACATTGCGGAAGAGGAGCCAGGAAACCTAGAAGGTGACAACGAATTTGATTACTTTGACGATGTCGATGAGTACGAAGCAGTTGCATTGAACAGCTTGCTTGAAGTTGAAGGTGCAGAAGACGATCGACAAGCAGGAGACGCCATCCAGCTACAACTTGCTGCTTTCACCGCAATGGGGAAAGCAGGTGGCAAGGGCAAATCCTTCGGGAAGCCCAAAGGAAAGGGGAAAGGAAAGATCGTGAAGTCCAACCTCACGATCGATCAGAGAAGACGGAAGCTCACAGAGCTGAAGTCGAAGAGCAAATGTTTGAGATGCGGAGTCATAGGGCACTGGGCCGGTGACCCGGAATGTAAATTCCCGGGGTCCAAAGCCGGAGCCCCTGGAAAGTCAGCCCCAAAGCCCGCAGCTCACTTTGCCGACATGAGCGATTCTTCAGATGACGATGGTGTGACTTTGACAGCTTCACCTGATCGTGACAGAGATGGAGTTGCTATGATGGCAGTTCGACAAGCGAAGCCCAGCAGTCGACCTTCACGTGCAGCAGCATCCAGCAGCAACGTTGGCTTGATTTCCCGGGATCTCG